CCCCCCCCCCCAACACACTCCCGTCTGCAGGAGCGGTTCAGGGACGGGTCTCTCCAGCCCTCCCTTAGCCACCCAGACGGTGGTTCCCCTCCAGCACTGCAAGATCCCGGAGCTTCCTGTCGAGCGAAGCATCTTATTCGAACTCCAGCTCTTCTTCTGCCACCTCATCGCGCTCTTCGTCCACTACATCAACATCTACAAAACGGTCTGGTGGTACCCGCCTTCCCACCCGCCCTCCCACACTTCACTGGTGGGTACCTTTAGGGAACGCTGCCCTTTTTTTGCCAGAGAGCAGCACCGTGGGTGCTTGGGTGGTCTCTGGCTTTAAATGTGTTTTAGTATTCCTTTTGTTTGCACGTTCAGTATAATATTTGTTTTCATATTTGTATATCCACTGCTTTTAGCTTTCAAATATTGCCTTTTCAAGGATGTAAGCCGCCTTGGGTCCTTTTTAAAGAGAAAGGCGGTCTAATCCTGAGTCTTCCTGTATCTCCAGAGAGGGAGTAGAGTGCACAAGAGACCATGTCAGGTACAGCTTAGAGAATCAGCCTTGCAGAGTGAATTCATTGCCTGTCACTGACAGGTGGGGTGGTTTGGTCCTCTTCTGGATTTTTTTTCCACACATTTATCAATCTCTTCTTGAAATTATAGACACATACGAAATAGAGGTCAAATTAGAAAAAGGTAAAATGCTAAGACAATTAGACTAATTTTTGACCCAAAACTGCCTACTTCCAGCAACTCTCAGCCCTTTGCTAGATTTTCTTTTGTACACGTCGTGGGGCATAAATTGCATGCACATAAATGCTGCATTGATTGAATTTCTCCACAGTCACAGAACATTTGTCCTGTATCCTTGATTTATTCTTTGATCCTACTTCACATCAAAGTCTATGAAGTAGCTCCCAGATGGTCGAAGAAACATTTCTCAGTAGGAAAACCATTCAGGTTTTTTTTCCGGCATGTTCTCCTTGCTTCAAACACCTCTGTTCATAAGTTAACAAAACCTTCTGTTGGCTTCTTTGTTTTTCCTTCCTGCAGAATTTTCATCTCATTGACTGCAACGTCCTAGCAGTGACCACCGCTGTCTTGGCAAGGAGATTGATCGGGGCCATTGTGAAGGAGGTGAAGGAGGTAAAGATCCGAGGTGGCGGGTTGGGTTGGGTTGGGTGTGGGTTTTTTCAGCTCCTGCTTGTTACACTGGGGCTTTCGTAGGTGAACGTCCCAGCAGGATGTGCCCAATATTTCCTTCGTACAAGCAAGTGGGGGCTCCTGCCGGTGACCTTCTGTGGGAGATGGGGGGCCGGGTCTGGAAGGCAGGACCTGTGTCTTTAGCCGTCCTTCTTTTCCAGCCTGCCCTAGGAAGGTGGAATGGGAAGAGTGGTGGGTGGCGGCTTCCCATTAGTTCTAGCCCGACACCAAAGCGGTGCAGCTTCTCCTGGGTGGCGGCTTCCCATTAGCCCGACACCAAAGCGGTGCAGCTTCTCTCGATGACCTTGATGGGGACAGAGAGGCCTTGAACTCCAAGAATTCCTAGAGCATAGAAGAATTGTGGGATGACTGAGTCGGAAGGGGCCTGTGAGGCCATTGAGTCGGGCCCCTTGTTTAGGTTAAGACGCACACCTTTCTGAATGTGTTGGAAATGAGTAAGATCTTGTTTATGGAATGCAATCCCCCGCCTTTGAAAGTCAATCAAGTAGCTGGGATTCTGAGGTAGCACTGAGTGATTAATTGACTGACCAATTAATTGATTTTGCATATTAGGCGTCTAATGTCTATCTTGCTCTTCTTCTCTGTCCTTCCAGGCTTCTCATACTGGCCAGGTCTCTCTCTCACGCTCTATTCTCCTGGTGCTGACGAGTTTTGCTGTCCTGACCGGGGTGGTTTGGAGTCTCAGCAGATCCATCCACCTCTTCAGGACGTATTCGCTGCTCAACCTCCTGTTTTTGTGTTATCCGTGAGTACCCGAGAGTTGTGGTCACATTTCTGCCTTTTTCGCAGGTTCTGAAGTGATACAAAAGTCACAAAAAATAAAAGACTCCCATTGGGAATAAAATAGACAGGAGGATGGGTCCTGCTTGGCATAAAAAAAAATTATCCTCCTGCGACCGTGTTTTCTTCTCCTTTCACCCCTGCCTCTCTTTCCCTCCCTCCTTGTCTGGTGTCTCCTTTGTGCTGTTTCTTTGGCCCAGGGCTGACCGTTTCATCCTTTGCCCGTGGAGGGCTCTGCGCAGCTCAGCAGAGGGACTTCAGAGCTGCTTTCTCTCCCCTTCCTCACAGGTTCGGCATGTACGTCCCCTTCCTGCAGCTGGACTGCGACTTCCGCAAGGTGGGCCTTTTCTCGCCAGTGGCCAGCCTCGGCCCTCGCGAGACAGGCGAGGGGGGCACAAGGGGCAAAGACTACCTGTCGGTCCTCAAGGAGACCTGGAAGCAGCACACGCGGCCCCTCTACGGGATGGAGGCCATGCCCACCCACGCCTGCTGCCTCTCGCCAGACCTGATCCGCAACGAGGTGGAGTACCTGAAGATGGACTTCAACTGCCGCATGAAGGAGGTGCTCGTGAGCTCCATGCTCAGCGCCTACTACGTGGCCTTCGTGCCGGTCTGGTTCGTCAAGGTACAAGGGTGAGGGATGAGACGCCTCTGCTCTGCAGAAAGACAATCCATGGCCGGTATCTGGTTTGATATTCCTGTCCCTGTGGAGCTCCAGGAGCTGGTCACACCTGACCAGGTGCACAATCAGCACCTGATTATAGGACCAGGGCAAGTTCAGCCTTTGGGAATTCTGTGCATATAAATATGAAGTAAGGGTACTAGTCCATCAAACTAGTATGCGTGGGGCTTGGTGTACTGCCACGTTGGCACGCAAAGAACTCTGTTAGAGCAGCACAACAGTGGGACCAGCCACCTCAGGGGAGGCGGTGAGCGCTCCAGCGCTGGAGGCCTTCGAGAGAAAATTGGACCACTCTCTGTCAGATCTGCTTTGACTTGGTTTCCTGCACCAAGCAGGGGATTAGATTCAGTGGCCTTACATGCCCCTTCCAATTCCATGATTCTTGGGCGGCGTAGATGTCCTTCCTGATGAATGTAGGCTCATGAAGCCTGGAAACGCTTGAAGAATCAGCCTCTAAGATCTAAAGACCGCTCTCCATATCGCCAGCTCCTAGAGGGTGGAGATGGGCGGCGGCGGTAGGCCACCCCTGTTGTGTGTCAGTGAGGTTCAAGAGGCATAAAACTAGGTAGTTGCTACAGGAACAAGATGCTGCTGGTCCGGTGGTGTCTTTTCTCAGCGCTATCCAGCACAGAAGGTTATATTGCAAATAATCCGGGACAGATTCCGTCTTGTTTGGCTCTGGAGGTTAAGCCAGTTGAGCTGATACATAGGAGAGACATGAAGGGACATACCAGACGTTGGAGGTGGCTGTGGGGCAGAGCATGAACATGGCTTGGACCCCAAGCTCAAGGCCTCAGCATCTCCAGGTAGGGCCAGGGTAGAGTCCAAAAGCCTGGATCGCTGCTGCCTGTCAAAGAGTCGGCAGCACTGGGTTTGGCATCACAGCAAGATGGCCCACAGTTCTTGGCGATGAAGGACCCGTGGGCCAAAATTGCAGTTTCTTCTTTGGAAAACCATCAGAAGGAGAAAGGCACTCTAGAACTTCCTAGCAGGAACATGCTGGTAAATGTTTTGAAAATTGGTTGCTGTGGGTTTTTCGGGTTTTGAAAATTGTTCATTCCCTTCAGTATATGTCTCTCTTGAAATCTTTCTCTAAACCAGATTTTTAAATTGAAACCTATAGGTAGCATCATGGCCTCTCCCAATTTGAAGAGACCCTTGTACAGCAGGCCGAGGCAAAGAGGCAGTCCCGAAACGAGCAGAACCAGGGAGCTGGACAGGGGGCAGATTGTATTTGTCTTCAGTGTGGAAGGGATGGTCACTCTCGAATTGGCCTTTTCAGCCACACTAGACGCTGTTCCAAGACCTCCATACAGAGCATGATACCATTGTCTCTTGAGACTGAAGGATGCCTACAGAGATATAGTGCCCCCCCCGGATCTGTTCACTTTGCAGGACTGGTGCTTCATCCGTGTTTTCTCCCCTCTTTGCCACAGAACACCCAGTATTACGATAAGCGGTGGTCCTGTGAGCTGTTCCTCTTGGTCTCCATCAGCACCTCCGTCATCCTCACACAGCATCTTTTGCCTGCCCGCTACTGTGATCTCCTCCATAAAGCTGCGGCGCATCTTGGCTGTTGGCAGAAGGTGGACCCGGCACTTTGCTCCAACGTACTGCAGCACCAGTAAGCAGCTCTCAGGGACCGACTCCCATCCTGACCTTCAGCACATGTAAAATGCATCTGTGTTACTATTTTTCATGGGGGGATATAAAGCCTCTGATAGTGGGGGTTAAACCCCTATGTTTATTCAGTGCAAGATTTGCTGTGCTTGGAGCTCACTTTTTGTTGAAGGGGAAAAACCAAGTAGTAACAGAACCATAAGAGACACTGTTGTTTTTCCTGTAAGTAGATCTTTGATGGGAACGTAGTGAAAATAAGCTCTCCTTCCTCCTTTCATTTGGGATAATCGGTGATAATAAGCCATCCTTAACGGGGATCCATATGGTTCCCTGGGGGGTGGGGTGGGCTGGAACATTTAAAGGGGGCTGCAGACTGGGAGCTGATCTTCCCACCCCACCTGGTACGAGGTTCATGATGTGACTTAGCATCGTCCTGATTTGACCTCTTATTTCTTTCCGTATGTATGGGGTTTTTTTGGCCATAGTTGGCCTGCTCTCAGCGGCGAGTTGGGCCAGAGCGGAATTCAAGGGGATCCCTGTCTCTTCCCTTCCCCTGGCAGGGTTCATTTATTTCCATTTCTTTCCCAGGTGGACGGAAGAATGCATGTGGCCCCAAGGGGTCCTGGTCAAGCACAGCAGGAACGTGTACAAAGCCGTGGGCCATTACAACGTGGCGGTGCCTTCTGACGTCTCCCACTTCCGGTTTCACGTAAGCGTTGGCCTTTTTCCTTTCGGTGTATTCAGGCCGCGGTCCTAGGCGAGCAGCGTCACCACGAAACACCCCCCCCTTGTTGTTTGTTCAACACTGGCATGATGCCGTCGGTCAAGAGGGCTCTTTGAAAGAGCCCCTTTCTGCAGCCAGGCTCCCTCAGACTCAATAAGGAGCAAGCAGGCATGCACATCTGGGTCTGTGTTGGAAATGGGGTCCAGCTCCCCCTTCCCAGGCCTGCTTGGAGTGTGATTTGCCTTCTAGAAGGCCTCGGGGGTCCCGAGAATTGACAGGAGGCCTGGGCTTTACCGTCAGGCTCTGTCCGTGTCTTGGTCTTCCTCATCTTTCAGGGAGATCCACTTTCTAGCCTTCATCCTCCACAAACAGTAATGAATTCCCTTGAAGGTGAGCGGACAGTGCAGTTCATAGCGCCTTATACACGTATCAGTCTGTTCGTGTGTTGGTGAAGAACTTTGGGGAGTGTTCAGGAACTCGCTCAATGACCTGGGACCCTCGGCCAGGCCTCTAGGGCCTTCTTTTCTGTTATTTTTATCCCGCTTTTTGACCAAAGTACTGTATGTGATTTTACACACGTATGAAAATACATTGGGAAGGAAAACTTGCTAATGCAAAATCGCTGATAGTACAAATAGAATCTTAAAGGTGTTGAGATGAAAATACACAGCAGAAGTCAAAACAGCATAAATGTATCAAATCATTTCCAAATTTAAGATGTTCTCAGTAACTGTCTAAAAGAGGGAGAGAGAAAGGCAGCTTGTCTTACACCTACTAGGGTAGGAGGAAAATGTTGCCACTGTTGTCACATCCGTGCTGTTGGCCCATTAAGTATCGTCCAAAGGGCGACCAGCGAACAGGACCTCTGATGCTGGCCTGGATGCTCAGACCAGGTGCATGAAGGAAACTGGGTTCTGTGCTTCACCCAGCCCATGTGGGCTTTGTGTGACCACCTGGGGGCTGCGAGAGCACCAGGCCAGCCTTCCTCCCCACAGACTGCGCTGGGTGAGGCTGTCGGGAGCTGCCATCTAGAAAGAGCTGGGTAGGGCGTGTTTTGCCAACCCATGTTTTCGTGGCTGAAAAGTGGATGGCAGAGCAGTTTTGCAGCCTAGAAAACTCTCAGCGTTCTTCCTCAGCTGCATGTTGCTAAGGGAAGATCTGATGGCCATCAGGGGAGTCTGTTCGCTATTGCTCAGTGGCCATTTCAGCATCAGTGCATTAGAGGGAGAGCAGGATGTTCTCCAGGCTTCCCCTTGGAGTTAACAGGAAACAGAGTTCTGTCTCCCTTTAGAGTGCATTCCGTTATTTACTTGCTTATTTTGTTGGAAATTAAAATGCCAGCATTCTAGCCCTCTTGGGAACAAGAGTCTAAGCCTCTCACCTGGAAGGGGACCTCTTGGATTTCCAGTTCTTTTTCAGCAAACCCCTGCGGATCTTGAACATCCTGATTCTCCTGGAAGGGGGCGTCATCGTCTACCAGCTCTACTCCCTCATCGTGTCGGAGAAATGGCACCAGACCATCTCGCTGGCCCTGATCCTCTTCAGCAACTACTACGCCTTCTTCAAGCTGCTGCGTGACCGGCTGGTGCTGGGGAAAGCCTACTCCTACTCTGCCGCCAGAGAGACTGATCCGAAGGCAAACTGAAGGCCTTGCACTCAACAGACACAAAAGGGGAGGGAGAGAGAGAGAGAGAACCAGCTCCCGGCTCCGTTGGCAGGTGGCCCGAGGTGTTCTGCCCCCTCCTCCTCCTCCACCTCCTCCTCCAGGCGCCTCTGCCACCATACCGCGCTGCCTGAGATGTGCTCCCCTGGAAATCTCTCCCCGGAGCCTGGTGCTCAAGGAGCACGCAGTCAGGCCGGCCCTGAGCTTTGTATTTCCCCTTTTTTTACCACTGCTTTCTGTTTGGTTTGGAGTTTTTTTTTGTTTGGTTTGGTTTGATAACTGATCTGTAAGGAAAATATCTTATTTTTGTACTCCCACCTGCCGTCTGCCTGGTTTTGTTCGGCAGGAACGAGCGGCGAGAGCCGGAGCTGGCTCTTGGCAGCTCCGGGACGCGTGTCTGGCTGGGCATCAACCTTAGTGCGTCAGGTTGTTTAATACGACGTCCCGTCTTAAAGAAGCCCCACGATTGCTGAGCTACGTGGGGTGGGGGGACAGGAAAAAGATGATTGGTGGTCCAGGCACGTCTTATGTCCAGATCCTAGCTTTGCTGCAAGCTGGCCTTGGGGCAAGGGGCTGTATTCATTCAGGCACATGTCCCCTCCAAACATACTGCGTTGGCGGGCATATCAGTGCCCTCGGTCTGCCCAGTGAAGGTCAAGTCGCTGCCGAGCACCTGGCATCTGCCGTCTTCATAGTTGGCATTGTCACTCTTCGGCCAGACCCGAGCTTTTGGCTTCTTCTGCCACTCTGGAGTAAACATGTTGCACCAGGAAGGTACATAGTGGGACCTGAGCAGTTAGAGGGAAGGGTAAGTCAAGCTGGCTGAAGAGCTCAGTGCATTGGAGCGCCTGGCTGCAGAGCCAGGTGTTGGATTCCCCCAGTGTGAATGATTGGGGAAGAGCCAGCCTGGGTGGCCTTGGGCAAGGTGCACCCTCCCAGGGCGCCGCCAGAAGGATGTCAAAAAGAGCCCTCTGGTGGATCAGGCCAAGGGTGCCTCTCATCCCAGCTTCCTGTATCTCTCACCGTCGCCCCACCCGATGCCTCTGGGAGCCCATGAGAGACCACAGGATCCCCGTCTCCTGATCCCCCTCCCCTGCATCTGGCATTTGGAGGGACCTTTTTTCTAAGCCTGGAGGTGATCCACCCCCAATGTGAAGGAATGGGTCAACTTAGGAAATTCAGAAAAAAAGGTCACTGTGAGTCAGAAATTCCTTGTGGCACCTAAATGGTCAGAATAATAATCTGGCCCACTGATGATCCTTACGACCTTTGATGGACCAGATTAAATTTACAAAGAAGGACTGCAATGGAGGGAGGGCGCTGGGAACATAAATACAAGGGCTGCGAAGCCAGTTGCCGCAGGAGAACCATCTTGTGCCCCCTCTCGGATCACCCGCATACCCTTCTCTCGAGGCGAATGCTTCAAACAGAGTCCTTCGGGTATAGGATGATGGAATTAAGAGAAGGAGCACCCCTGTGTCCTCTTTTATTTGTTCCACACACACGAGAGCAGAGGGCAGGTGTGAATGGACACACACACCCACCCCGAGTCATCCAGTGGCATTGGGTCTGTGGTGGTGCCTTGCTTGCTCAGGCCACCCTGGCTTGCCATGGGGGGGGTTAAGAAATCATGAGACATGGGCCCTGGGGTGGTGCGACAGCCGGAGTTGCTCCATTGGTCCATGTTTGATGCACGGAGACATGTGCATCCGGAGCGCATGTCCGCCAGGTGGCAGTCAGGGGAGTTCCTGCTACCCTCCCCCCCAAAAAAACCCCCACTTTTCCCAGGGTCTCCCTCTGAGGACTTCCCACCCCCTCTTGCGTTCGAGAAGCAAAGTGTGTGGATGCCCTGGTCTTGCTGCAGACCTCCTAAGGGAAGGAGTCCGGTGCTGCCCTGCTTAAAATGGGGACGGGTCGCGTCTACAGGGATCGGGCCCCAGGGACCGGCTGCCTGGTTTCTGAAAAAGAGTTGCAGGCTGTGGTTCCCCCCCCCCCCCCCCCCGTGCCTCATGGCTGTTGGCAAGCCAGTCCCTTTATCCTTGACATGAAAGGGCAGGTAGGGTGCACACATGCACCCCAAAAATGGCTTCTTGGTGGGTAGAGATTCGCTCTTCATGTGGCCCCCCAAGTGCACCGTGGGCTCTGTGTTATATTTCTGAACAGGCAGCCCTGCCTCCCTCTGGTCAGTATGGTTAGCAGGGCTTTCTCTGGCTTTCGGATTTCATTTTTCCACCCCTTTGCCAAACCAGAGCTTCATTTGCCCTCTTGCCACATCCCCACGTGGCCTTTTTAACTTCCCAGGTGAAAACCTGAAGGGCCATCAGGGAGAGGTGGCCAGCCGGAGCACGACCTGGACCAAGATGCCACCCGGGGTGGAAGATCGGTTGCAGAACTGTAAAAACCAAAAAGGGAGTAGCAGAATAAACCCCTTCAGGTTCGCCCTGGTTTGAATGAAGCGTATGTGAGCTGGGTGTCCGTCCGGACCGAGGCAGAACAAAAGAGCAAAGACCGGCTGCTTGGGTTTGGCAGGCTGGGGGCAGCATCCTCCTTTGGACTCCTCTGATTTCTGCTCCACCCTGTCCCCTCCCCTTGTCTCCTCTTCCTTCGGCGGTGGTCTTTCTTGCTGACTCCCCCGTTCCTTTTCTTGAAAGACCCAGCTGGGCCAGCAGCGTCTGAAGGCCTTTAGGGCATCATCCTCATCCTCCAGGAGGTGGGAGAAAAGGGGCTTGGGCTGCCCTTTCCCAGCACACCCCCCTCCCCACTTCCACCCGCCTCTCGCCTCCCTGGCTCAGAGGACTCCCGCCGGCTATCTAGGCCATGGGGGCGCCATCTGTCCCTGGCAAGATTATGGGAGATGAAACAAGAAAAGTCTTACCCAGAGATTAAATATTTAATAGATGTGTTTATTCTGTCGAGAAGGGTGTTCCTCCAAGCAAGAAGGGAGCAGGTTAGGTGGCCAGCCCTCGCCTTCTGGGGTGGGTGCGGATCTGGCCCTTTTCTGCCTCCCTTCGCCTCCAACAGGACAGATTCTGCCTTTAGCGCTCCTGGCAAGCTGGGCTGCGGAATCAACCAGCCACTGATTTCCTACCTGATCAGCTTGAAAACGTCATCTCCTCCGATTGGTGTCTAGGAGGGATGCAGGTTAGCACAGCCTGCTCAGGGATGGAACTCTGTGCACGCTCAGAAACCCTCTGTATGGGTGTACCCGCTGCGCAACAAAGCAGTGGAGGAGCCGGGGAAACGTTCAGGACCAAGGGTTGCTCCGATTTAACGTGGACCCAGAGAGGCAATCCTGGCCTATTGTTGCAAGCGTGGTACTATATGTATTGTTAAATCTTTTGGTGGGAAAGTAAAGCCTTAGATTTTTCAGCAAAAGCGTGAGGACCACTCAGCCCCTCCCCATGAGGTCGTTGGTTCCACAGTCGTTCCCAAAGCTGGCTTCCTGCTGCTTGAGCCCATTGCTGCGTGTCCAGCACTCCGGAATGAATGAGACGTACATAAGGCAGCGCCTTATCTAGCGCTTCAGATTTGGGGTGTGTGGGGTGTGCAGAGAGTTTTTGTCAGAACAGATTCTTGCTTTGAGCACAACCATCGTCTCGTTATCCAGTCCATCTAAAGGTCTCCGGCAGATTTGCCACCAAAGCTTGGAGATCCCCCAGGCCCATCTTCTATAAGCTATAAACACTCGCCTCCTCCTCTTGTCTCCTTCCCGATTTCTTAGTACAGTACCTAATGTTCAACAACCTCAGAGGAGGCTTTCAAAACGATGTAGGCACATCATGTTGAAAAGTTTTCTCTTAAAGTTAGAACGTTTACCTGGCTTGCACGAACCTTCGTTCCGACACAGGGTCAACTCTAGTGAGGAAGCTGCTTCCTGGTGCCCCAGCCAGTGTTTCCGGGAAGGCAAGACGTTCAGGAATTTGCCTGCTGCTTGCCGTTGGCACTAGTGGGCACCAGAGCATCATTTCTGCAGCTGTAAAGAGGCTTGGCCGCAACCGAGGTGCCATCATTGGTTCAAGCCCATCCACCCTGCAACTGGGGCTGGGTGGGTAGGATGATTAAGGTTAATGAGACATGGAGGGATGCAGGCAGTGCATCTTATCTTGAGTCAGACCCCTGATCTATTGAGCCCTGTGTTATCAACTCCAAGCACCGGCCAAATTTCTCCAACCTTTCAGGCAGGGTCCTTGGCCCACCTTCCTTCTTGTTGTTGTTTAGTCGTTAAGTCCTGTCCGACCCTTCGTGACCCCACAGACCACAGCATGCCAGGCCCTTCTGTCTTCCACTGCCTCCCGGCGTTGGGTCAAATTCATGTTGGTCGCAGAGAAAAGCCTTTCTTTCTCCCTCAAACTAGAACCCACAAGAACGTCCAGGGGCACATTAAGGGTCATCTCATCCCACAATCTTGTCCCCCAAACCATCCCAAATTCCCAAAAGTCAATGCTTTCATTTTCAAGACACCGTTACCGAGAGCTCATTCCGGAGCAGCCGGAGTACTTGTAGACATTCCGTGCTCTCACTGCAGACCAGCCCATGACTGAGAACTGTGTTTGCAGCTGGCATGAAGTCCCTTGCCTGTCACCTACCTGTCTATCCACGGGAGGAAATAAAACAGTGGGCTTTGATTGGTGCGAACTGGAGACAAAGCCGGCCTCCACCAACCTCTTTTCCTGGGCTCTGGATGGAGAACAGAGAGAGTATCTCTGGGTAGACACAGAGTGGGTCTCGGCTACAGTGCCAGCATGCACCGGTGCGGAGTGGAGGGTTTCAGCATCTCCGCCTCTTGTTTGATCCTAGCCCCTGGGGACTTGTCCCCTTTGCCTCCAGCATCCTGCACACAGCCTGCCTCTGGGGTTTGGTACCTAGGCCCCATGCACGCGGCTGCAACACTCCGCGAGAAGCCACCACCTCGTTCCCAGACAGGCGCGTCGGCCCCTTTGGACTTGATCCGGCATGTCGGTCTCATGATGGCGGCAGCGGAGAAGCCCGGAGGCGAAACTCTGCACTGAGGCTGCCAGTTTCTGTCCGAGGGTTTCCCCTCTTGCTCCAGGCTCCTTTATCCCCAGAGGAGAGCGCCTGAGTTTGCAATTAAAGCTTTTCATCAGGATCCCTGGGGCCGAGCCAAGCTTCACAGTAGGAGGAGGGGGGAGAGAGAGAGAGAGAGAGAGAGAGAAGCCCTCCTGTCTCTTCAGAGCCGGAGTGAGCCGACCTGTTCTTCCACTCCTCCCTGGATGCATCTGGAATTTTTTGCTGCAGAGAGTCTGGTGGTGGGAAAACCCAGAGGGGAGAGACAGCCGGCAAGTTGGTTGGGTGGAGG